GCTGGCCACGCTGCTTTGGATGCAGCCCAGGAGACGGTTGGCTTTCTGGGCTGCCAGCGCACATTGCTGGCTCATGCTGAGCTTCTCATCAACCAGCATCCCCAAGTCCTTCTCCTCAGGGCTGCTCTCAATCCATTCTCTGCCCAGCCTGTATTTGGGCTTGGGATTGCCTCGACGCGTGCGGGACCTTTCACTTGGCCTTGTTGAACTTCACGAGGTTTGCACAGGCCCACCTCTCAAGCCTGTCAAGGTCCCTCTGGATGGCATCCCTTCCCTCCAGCGTGTCGACGGCACCACACAGCTTGGTGTCGTTGGCAAACTTGCTGAGGACACACTCAATCCCGCTGTCCCTGTCACCAACAAAGATGCTAAACAGCGCCGGTGCCAATATTGACCCCTGAGGAACGCCACTCATCACTGGTCTCCACTTGGACATCGAGCTGTTGACCGCAACTCTTTGAGTGCGACCATCCAGCCAATTCCTTATCCACCGAGTGGTCCATCTGTCAAATCCACGTCTCTCCAATTTAGAGACAAGGATGTCATGCGGACAGTGTCAAATACTTTGCGCAAGTCCAGATAAGGACCGGGGGGGGAAGGGAAGTAGACAGGCAGGGGAAAGACCCAGTCTTGAAAAAGCCCTATACATTGCTCAATCGACATACTGGCTTAAAGAGTATTTTCTTGACTGAGTCTTCAAATTTGGTGCACAAATGCTTTCTTCTTTTGCTTCTGCAAGTCCCTGACGTGATCTCTGCTTGGTTTGTAGTCTAAGAGTGCTTAAGAAAGGGAGTGAGGAAGGAGGAAAACAGAAATGGGGGAAGAATCAGGCTACCAGAAAAGAAAGAAAATTTTGGATTAATTCAGTAACATAGGGATTTTTTTCCCCCGACATAGCCTCTTACTCCCCCAAGGCAGGTTATTCTCCAGAAACACTGGTTACACACAGGAGGCCTCAAAATTATATTGGATGAACTGCAGTATACTTTGCTATAATACATGATGCATTTCTAAACCTATGATAAGCACTGGCGATACTGAACAGACTTGGAACTGTTCTTTTATAATTCTGTCATCTAGAACACACCTCGTTAATAGGGATGCAGAGCCACTTTTACAAAGGTAACTTGATTCCCCCCCTCCAATTTTAAAACCCAAGAAAATTTTGTACTTTAAAAGGGAAAAAAGGGGTAAATATTCAGACACTACATGCACATTACATTTTACTCTTCTTAGCTCTGGTCATTTCAAATTGAAATCAATCAACTTGCTGTACTATATGCTGCTACAGAAATATCATTCAGGTAACTTTTGTCAAGGAAAAAGCAAGGGAAAATAAAAAAGTAAAAAGTCAGTAGTTGCACTTGTAATCTACCTCCACCAACATTACTGCAGGATTAACACTTACAGTATTCAAATCAAAGTAGCAAGTTCATGAGTAAAATGAATACAACAAATATACTCTACTAGATAAAACTCTTTCCAGGCTTAAATACACTTAAAAAAAAAAAAAAACAGGAAAGGGGGGGAGTGGGGGTGCAGCCAGGGAACAGAAAACCTTCCATTTTAGTGTCAGTCTCATCGCAACTGCAAATGTGAATGGCTTACGCGACAACAGTTCTCCCAAGTCAGCAGGTATATCATGCTTGCTATCTATACATAGCACATGCACTTCCAGATACGTCTTATGACAGGACTTTAACTATTCCAATTTATAACAGTCTCACCTAATTCTGTAAAGAAAGACATTTAAAATATGCTATTTTCTTGTTCTAGCTACTGGACAAAGTAGAATCTTTTAAGTTGTCTCTTCAGGTGAGTATCACTGCTACATCTGCGCATGATTAAGACAGTTCTGCAAGGAGACTCGAAGATGGCACATCTCCCATTCTCTGCTGGTTGAATTTCACCATCCATGAATAGCCTCCTCAGGTTCCAGCCTGAGATTAACAGCAGCAGAGTTCCCAGCCATGGCTGTCACAACAAGAAATCAACCAAGAGCTTATTTAACAGGGTTTGTTAACATAAAAAACGTTTTGTGAAAGCAAAACAAAAACAATACACCTCAGGGAGGATTTCAGTTTCCTTTGTGCACTGTGCTTCAAAGTACTGGAAGCAGACCTGCCACATGTGAAAATGGGTAGAAGTGTTTTTCCTTGTACCAGATTAGCTGTTATCCTTTTTCACCGACGTGAGAATATGCTCGTAATAACATCCATTACATTTAAAAGCAATTTTTAAAAGCCATTAAAAGAGTGGGCTAGATATTTTTTTAAAAAAGTATATATATTTAAAAAAAAAAAAAAATTCAGTGTTACCTCTGTCTTCCATAAACTTGTAAAGCTGTTGGAGGAAGTTGTCCCTCTCTTCAGGATCAAGCTCTTCCTCAGGCTGTAAAAACAAATGCAGTCATAATGAAAACATAAAATATGCAAAGTAACAATTTATTTATACAAAAGTCTAACAGCAAGAACTAAACCCAAACCACTTCCCATTTGGCCCTGCACGCATATAATGGTGAAATATGCAGGAAACAAAATTTACTCTGGAGACTGAAGTGCACACCTCAGGAGGAGAAAAAGAAAATGCAGGTCAGGGAAAGCCTCAAACCATGACAGAAAGAATGTAAGTGTGACCCTCAAAATGAAAACACTAATATACTTAATATATTGTTCTAGCACAAAAAAGTTGTTTGTTATTTACAAGACTGAAGCAGTTCACAGGAACTCTAGTTTTTTTTGGTTTGTTTGTTTGTTTGTTTGGGGGATTTTTATTTAACTCATCTTCCTTACCCCAACTATAGCTAAGGCTGCAGAACAATTCTTTCTCCAACCGTTCCTGTTTTTGATGCTCCAGACACTATTCGTTTTGTGATTAAGCCCCCATGCTTGATTTCAGCTCATATTTGGAAACACTTTTACAGTCACTTCCATAATTCCCTGAACACATATTTCCATAATTTATTATTATAAATTCCTTAGTTTTATCTTCCCAACTTAAATCCTCAGACATAAACACTTATGAACTTTATGGTAAGCAGTCCACAGTGTGAAATAAAGATTTTATTTTATTCAGGTGGAAACCATGAAAATAAAGTACATTTATTACGGGAAGGAAAATAATTTCTACATATCTACATATAATTCATGGGATTCTGAGATGCTAGCAGAGACTGGTGAGGCGGGGGGGGAATAAATCTTTTCCCTGCAACGCTTTACGCATGCCGCTTTCCTCCTGCCAGCCTGGCAATCATAGGGATTGCTGGTAAGGCAGTTTGCACAAGGAAGACTGCAGCTGTCTTGAAGGAAAGACGTACAGTACGTGTCAAAAAATCTTATCACTACATTATTAAAAATAACAGAAAAGTCACAAGCAGTTCCAGAAGGAAACCAGAATAGCAATTTCAGCTTCAGTCATCTCTGCATTTTGTAAACGTTAAGCTTCAAGGCAGGAAGATAGACAGTGAAATGTAAATGTATATGCTACTGCCTTGTTAACCAGAAAGCAATCTGCCCAGCATCAGAATGAATTTCAGCCCTGCCTGCTTCAGTGAATTCTGAGCTTCAAAGCCCAACAGGGATCACCTACAATCAGGCAGAGACAGTATCTGTTTCTTATTTTCCTATTTTTTCTTAGGAAATAATTTGAGGAAATTAAATGAATAATCACAACACTGTACAGCATCAGTTACCATTTGCTCATACTGCATATTATAGGGATTATATAAAGAGGAAGAGTTATCTATAGAATTATTATGTTCTTCCAGGTTAACAAATGAATTATTGCTATAGAAACCACAGGGTTTTTCTCTCCATCTAGATTGCAAACCAACTTCAAGATCGAGAAATTTCTACCCTCTACTGTAATGTTTACTGATTAAAGGCAATATGACTCAAACTATGCAAACAAAACATATCTAAATAACAGTAAACATTCAGAAATATTTCTGAATAGTTGAATTCAAACCATGTCTTTTATGTGGGCATAATGCCAAATGAGAACTGTAGGTCAGAACAGCAGAAATGTAGGTTAGAAATAGCACTCTTGCAGACAGAATGTTAACCATTTCACTGACGCCAAGTATTTTCAGCTGAAGAAAAGCAAAAAGGAAAGATGAAAAGCTTTTACGTACTTAGAGGACGGGGGCAGAAAACCTGACTGCAATATTCATCCACCTGTGAGAGACATCCTGAATCCTGTACCTCCTTCTCTCTGCTGATGGTACGTGAGCTAGGTTGGCACTCCTTGACAGAGAGAGTCTGAACTGTGCCTGGTACCAATGCCAGAGCAGACACCAAATCCTTCTGAGAGGTGACTTGAATAAGACCTGAATGACTGTCCCCAAGGAATAAATCATCCATCAGCTATTTCAAACTCTTTTCCTGCTACTGGCCAAAATGAGAAAGATCAACCCTTCATAGATATGGTTATTGCGACATTAAGATACATGGATTTTTATCAGAGGTCAATTTTCATCACGGTTATCTATTTGTAACTGGACATACTGCCTTCCCAGGAGTGTCTACTGGTTTGAGTTAGAGTTGAGTTTTATTTCAAATACATCAACCATCATCTAAGCTGCTGTATCAGCAACCTTAAAAGCTGCACCCAAAGTGAAGAAAACACCTGAGAAATGTTGATGCCACAACCTACTATCACCATAAGTGAGTGACTGGAGAGCTAAAATTGCCAGCATCTCTTTTCAGCAGGCACCGGGGCGACACTGCTACCCTCCAAAACTCGCTTCTCCTATCCAGACACTTACGCCCATTTTAGACTGGGCATAAGTAAGTTCACATGACAATTGTTCAAAATCAGTTTTCTTAAGAGGAGAGGTCTGTCTCTCCATTTCATTTTTCTCCTATACAGATGTTGCAAAAAAAGGCCACACTGTAGCCAAAGATAAGTCCGAGTGAGAGGCAAAACAATATGAAATTTTTAAGTGATGGGAGTTCAAAATTGAGACCTTTCATCCAATACCCATAACTAAATGCAACATGAGAAAACTTTTTTGTTTCAGGGTGACAGGCTGAATTTCATTAAAAAAAAAAAAGAATCTCCAAGATGCCCTTTTTTGCTTATAATTAAAAAGTTGAAATTTTATGGGTTTGAGATTTTTTTCCTCCTTTCTGACTAGCAGGTCACATCAGTTAGAGAATATTGTAAACAGTAAAACAATGAAATCAACAATGAACACAGGATCTCTGTGTAAGGGACATACTCCTTTCCCAACTCAATTTCTTATTGCCTTCCAAGTAACACTAACAGTGTTCAAGTATTTTGTAAAATTATTTTGAGAATAACAACCAGCAAATAAGCACAACATAAAACCCACAGAAACTTCTAGAAAACTTGTAACTGGCTTTGCTTCATTTGGTTTCAAGCCACTTTATTCACCATGAGTTTTGCCTCTTTCTTTAGCATGATTTTAAGCAAGAATATAGCTCTGTTATCCTGACTCATCGTTTACTCTACAGAAAGATGTTAAAGCTTCTGTGGATGCTAACCTATAGAGCTGAGTGGGAACACGAAGGATGAAACAGTTTATTTTACAAAACAAAGAAAGAATCTCTGCTTAGAAGCACGTACGCCATATACTCAATCAATACGGGGCTAAGGTACCAGGGACAGGTCTTTCTTTTATGTTATTAATAGACTGACAATACCATAAACTCTTCTGTGAAATAAATGCAAGCTAAGAGGAAGAACAATGTGTACAGGATTTGGAGTTCAGAAGAGTATATGATCAAGACAAGCTGCCAGAATTAGAGTTAACGTAATTTTGTTGCTTCAGACTACTTGAATGCGTTTTCATCACTTGCACATTTGCTTTCTGATGCCAAGTTTGAACATCAATTAAGGAAATGAAAAGAATTAAACTGATTACGAGTTAACAGCTTTACACCATGTGGAGATAAGAGTGGTCTTAAAATGTTAATTTCTACCAACAGGAACCAGGAATTCAACCACCCTCAACAATGACTCACCCTAGAGCTGCGCCTCAGTTTGCAACTTTGCTCCTCTTTGAGGAATATTTGGAGAACGCCTGCCAGCATAAAATTGTGAGCAAGAAGGTCTTTGTAAAGAACATTTGTGCATGGTATGATGTAGGCCACGCTTCACAGTAGCCAAACCTCCTACAAATGCATGCATGCATGAGAAGGATGATTAGCTAATCAATGTTTAGCTATTTTTTTAAAGGCTATTCTGCATATTACACATCACAGCTGCTTAGTTGTTTTTTTTTTTAATATATGCAAATAAACAACTTGTTTCTGGATACCATGCTTCATTAACTTTGAAATTACTGTATTCCTGTATTTAATTTTTAGAGTCAGCTTTTTCAATGTTATCTTAAAATACACATAGGTTGCAACAGAAATGGACGGTTCCTGTACCATTTTATGTGGTCTCCCACAGTCACTTAGAGAAAAGACTACATGGGAAACAAGAACTACTTTGAAGCAAAATGTAATTATTTTAATAGATGACTACTGATCATTTGTAGGAATCTCAGGCCTCCTAAAACACATCATGGATTTCATATTGAAATCCTTTACGAACTTAGTGCTAATAAAATATATTGTAATCACTTATCATGAGAACGGAAATCCTTGCTTATTTGCAGAATAGGTACACTGGAAAACGCTTCTGGCATTTTCCCTGCTCAACAATGTAAGGCAACCCTGACTGACGTTTCTTGATGCTGTTGTGATACAAGAACCCTAAAAACTTTAAAAGAATGCACACTATTAAACACAGCACGGATACATCAGGTGACATACATACAGATACAATTCAGGTGATTGTCAAAATGAAGACTATGAGAAAATTCCTCTAAGCATACACCTGGAGGTGCTACAACTCCTTCTCCAATGAGAGGTATGGAGACCAGCTCGGGAGAATTTTTTTCTGAACATTTTTTGCATGTTTGATTGGGGGGGGGGGGGGGGGGGGGAAAAAACAAGGAACTGCTATTAAAGTGACACAGATAAGTTGGAAGAGTCTCTCAAAGATGGTATTATAACCAATTCTACAGGTAAGATAGAAATCCCTTTTTCCAGCCTTTGATATTATAAAAAGATACAATTTTGAAACTTGCAAAATTCAAACTCTAAAAGAACATATTCCTTACTTTTACTCTGATCTTATGTGAATGTATCTATTAAGAACACATACTGAAAATATATTTCAAATAACTGCATGTTAAAATCTTGATTCTTTTGGAATCAGAATGGCCTACAGGTAGACTGAGAGGCAAAACCAAATGTTGCCTACATGTTCCCTTGTAAAATGTATGTACGTATTCGACTATTTAATCCTGAAAAACAAATAGGTATGATTTCTTCCCTGACAGAACAACTTAAATACAAGCAAATACAGTAGCATATATAATCTGATTTTTAATAAAAATCAGGTAATGTTCCAAAAGCTTCTATTCCTATGTGGAGATACTGGAGTTTAGATTTTCTCTTTCCTTTTAGCTGCAGCGCATTCTGACTGCCAAAGGTACCCTCAAAACACAGTTAATTCTCTTATTCTGACATGTTGAAAACTGGATAAGAACCAAAAGCAATATCCAGGTTTTTAGCTGGATTCAAACCAAGTGCGTGATTCTTTAAGTTTATTTGATAAAGAATTTTTTTCTATAGTACCTCTGGATTTTTCCACTTTTTGTGACACAAGCAGTATCTGTTCTGTTATTCAAGCCTCACATCATGAATGAAAAGTAATCCTGAGTTGCACCATATATTGCAATTATGGCCAAAAATCCAACAATTCGAACATGCTGAGCAACTCAATGTAACGCAATCCCTGTTAAAGTCAATGACAAGCAATTTCCACATTTTCCTCCTTCGTAGTCAACTCTGGGCCAAGCAAGTCAGTTACCACCGACAAGGAGGATTAGCATCTCACCACCACCATATTGGTTCCCACTCCTTAGCTTACAAAAGACATCAAAGAACAACCATGTAAAGCCTAGAAATCTTGTTGTACCAATTCTCCCATACTCTTAAGATGTCATGAAAGGCAGCATAATTAGAAAGACAGTCTCTGTCAAAACAAAGTTACAGATTTTAACCCAGCCACTGGAAAAATGGTAGGATCTATTCTCACCAGCTACAGTAGGTCTCTCTGCTCCATTATCATTATAAAAGATCCTACTTCAGAAAAATAGGATCCTTTCCATTCCCAGAATTAGACTCTTCTGACTGACTTTATGCTCTCATTACGTATTAAGTAGGTCTGTGTCCATTTGATTGACGTAATGAAGGCCTGTCACGGCTGGTCAGCAGCTGGCCAGGCCTTGACAGCAAAGCTGCTGTGCATTTCAGAAGATGGGGGTGGGGGAAGATAATTTTTAAAATCTCCCTCCCATCTCCAGTAATATAACAATTTGCAGTTGTAAAACAAAAGGTCCACTGAGAATATTCTGGCAGAGGATGGACAGAAGCTGCTTTGACCTTGATTAAAAAAGGAGAAACTCTACAAAATGTAAATGCAAAATTTGAGTAATCCAACATTTGTAGTCAAATAAACGTAAGGCAATATCATTCACTTGTCGATTCTCTCTGCAACCCGTATTACTGCCTTTCTAAGGGAAAAGAAAAAAGAAATTATGGTAAATTCCCTAAATGCTCTCTAATTGTAATATCTAGCATGGCCCACAATTAGAATATGTATCATAACAGTTGAATCAGGAGTTTGATTTAATGGGCTGGAATGACAGTTCTGCCCTGACATAATCTAAAAAGATTAATACCATAGCTTCAGCATGAAGATGCTCACGTTATTTTTACATGCCTACTTGTCACCTGGAAATAATGGATTCTACAGCTTTTCCCAGCAGTACGTCTACCTGTCTGGAATCCTTTCCTTCACTACTCCACAGTTAGATTATTCTTTAAAAATAACCTCTATTTCTTTTACAGCTTTTTTTTTTCCCCCTTTTTTTTTTTTTTTTTAAACGACCAAGCTCCCCCCTCCCCCTTCTTTGTTTGAAACACACAGCACTTTTATGCAATAGCCATGAAAAATGATTTTAAAAATGGGTACTAGAAAACTAGTATAGCCATCCTTGATTTTTAGTGACTGATATTCTGCAATTTTAAGCAACGTTAATACAAACAGACCAATACAGACTGCAACAGTTCACACCCTGCAAAATGTGGCCTATTCAGTCCTTTTCACTGCAAACAGAGGAAAAAACCCAGAGGATTTTATATTCTGCACACATTTATCCTTATATTTATCTGATCATACCATTATTGTCATACAGACATCTACTCCATTTTCCAGAGCACTGTTATCAAGGCATAAAATTAACACCTAAAAATAGATTCTTATTGTCTTTTTTTACCTGGAAAGATCTACCCTGGCTGCATGCTCCACCAGACAGTTCCCAGATCAGAAATCTAAATCAAATCCGCATTCTTAACAACCATGTTAACATTACAGATTAAAACACAGAATCCTTACCTAGGAGCTGCATTCTTTCAAATGTAAAATGGTTTTACTTCCTTTCTATCTAATCTGCCCACTGCCTGGACATATTTCAGCCTGACTTCCAAATATTTGCTGGCTTTCTCTCTCCCTGCACGGCACCCGCAGTTATACGGCATTACTTACATTCTCTTCCATATAAAAAAAATTAAATAAAAAAAAAAAATTAAAAAAAAAAAAAATCACACATTACATGAAAGGCAAAGAAAAGAGACA